CTCGTATTGGTGCTGCAGAGGAGGTCAAATCTTGCTTTAGAGTTGGGTGGTCAGATGAATTGAGCCCTGAGCGGGGTTTTCAGTATGTTTACTTGACTCCTGAGGATCATGAACGAATGAAATCTTCTGTCATTGCTCATGAACTGAAGTTGTCAGATGGAGAGATCCGATGGGTTATAGATACTATAATAGGAAAAGAGGATGGCCTCGGAGTTGAGAACTTAAGTGGTAGTGGAGCCATTGCCAGTGCATATTCGCGGGCATACCATGAAACATTTACCTTGACATACGTAACCGGCAGAACTGTGGGCATAGGTGCTTATCTTGCTCGTCTTGGCATGCGGTGTATACAGAGGCTCGATCAGCCTATAATTCTGACTGGTTATTCTGCACTTAACAAACTTTTGGGTCGGGAAGTCTACAGCTCGCACATGCAACTTGGTGGACCTAAAATCATGGCAACTAATGGTGTTGTTCATCTGACTGTCTCAGATGACCTTGAGGGGGTATCTGCGATCTTGAAGTGGTTGAGCTTTGTACCCCCATACTGTGGTGGTCCACTTCCTATTTTGACCCCCTTGGATCCTCCAGAGAGACCTATTGAGTATTTCCCTGAGACGACATGCGATCCAAGAGCAGCTATCTCTGGCTTAACAGATCCAAGTGGAAAGTGGTTAGGTGGCGTTTTCGACAGGGATAGCTTCGTTGAGACACTGGAAGGCTGGGCAAGGACTGTTGTAACAGGACGGGCAAAACTTGGAGGAATTCCTGTAGGAATAGTTGCTGTTGAGACCCAAACTATGATGCAAGTAATCCCTGCCGATCCTGGACAGCTTGATTCTCATGAAAGGGTTGTCCCTCAGGCAGGGCAAGTATGGTTTCCTGACTCCGCAACGAAGACGGCTCAAGCACTGATGGATTTCAATAGGGAGGAGCTACCTCTTTTCATTCTTGCCAACTGGAGGGGATTTTCAGGTGGACAAAGGGACCTTTTTGAAGGTATCCTCCAAGCTGGATCAACCATTGTTGAGAACCTTCGAACATACAAACAGCCTGTTTTTGTGTACATTCCTATGATGGGCGAGCTCCGTGGTGGGGCATGGGTTGTTGTGGATAGTAAGATCAATTCAGACCATATTGAAATGTATGCTGAACGAACAGCTAGAGGAAATGTCCTTGAGCCTGAAGGTATGATTGAGATCAAATTCCGGACAAAAGAATTGCTTGAGTGCATGGGTAGGCTTGACCAACAGCTTATCAATCTCAAGTCAAGGCTTCAGGAAGCTAGGACTGCTGGGGTATATGCTACGATTGAAACCGTACATCAGCAAATAAAAACACGCGAGAAGCAGCTTTTGCCAGTATACACTCAAATAGCAACAAAGTTTGCGGAACTGCACGATACTTCATTTAGAATGGCTGCAAAGGGGGTAGTCAGGGAAGTGGTAAATTGGGAAAGTTCTCGTTCGTTCTTCTACAGGCGATTGCTCAGAAGGGTTGAGGAGGAGACGCTGATCAAAACTGTGAGGGATGCTGCCGGTGACCAGCTTTCTTACAAATCTGCGATGGATATGGTGAAAAGGTGGTTTCTGGATTCAAAAGAAAGCAGAGAAGATGCTTGGGCAGATGACGAAGCTTTCTTCTCATGGAAGAACGACCCTAATAACTACGAGGAAAGCCTACAACAGTTGCGAGTCCAAAAGGTGTTACTTCACCTATCCAAGATTGGTGATTCAACATTGGATTTACGTGCTCTACCACAGGGTCTTGTTGCTCTCCTACAAAAGGTTAGCTATCAGATTCCTGCTTCGTAGCTGGGACTTCAGTGTGCTGTCAACCTTCCATTTTTTTTTTTTTGAAGGTTTTTAAAGAAACTGACGTATTGGTCTCAAATGCAGGTTGAGCCAGCAACTAGAGAGCAGTTGATCAATGATCTGAGAAAGGTGCTTAATTAATCAACGAGCCCGCAGCTCGATGCCACTTGTTCCTGCTCCATGGACCATATGTGCTGAACCTGAAATCTGCTAAGGCAGCCAGCAGTCGACTTATACTATGAAGTGATGGTTCTCTAATGAATAATATGCTTTCAACGAAGCGCTGGAGATGCTTTGCAGGTCATTGGTTCAATTTTGTGTAGTAGAATGTAGGTAGTAGAATCCTTAAGAGAGATGTAGGTTACAGCATTCAATTGTTTGAGCTAAAAGATGCACGGCCTAGCAGGTTCCTTACTGAAATTCCTGCAAGCCTGATTATCATATGATGTATATCTTGATTGCTCCCTTTGTATAAGAATCAGTTAGCAGAATGTCCAAATAAAATATGAGGCTTCTGTAAGTCATGCTTGAATGTAGTTGCTGTTCAAATGGTTAGCAATTGATCTTGCGAGCAGTTTCCTGGTTTACATATGTCATTACCCACATTCCTCCGAAAATTCTTTATCCTGTTAATTAATGTATCGAGTAATAGCCTGTTTGGCCAAGCTTCAAAAAACTCAGTTTATTTTGAAAAATGTTTTTCTTAAAAGTACTTTTTTGGTAATTGACCTTTTTTTTTGGGTATTAATCACCAAAGAGAATCTGTACAAAACCAAAGCCATGCTAACGCAGCTGGCTATCTAATAGGAGAAAACAAAAATACTAGCTAGACAATCAAAACAAATCAACAAATCTGTCTACACTAATTTCTATTTGTCAATCATGAACTGTTGTACTAAATTCCTAGCTCAAGCAGTTGTCCGCGGACGTCTGCAGGACTACCTCGGGTCGCCTGTTGGACTGAAGGCAGCAACTTTACTGTGGCCCAAACGCTCCGGTACCAGTATCTACACACAGTGCAGAGTATAGTATCAGCACAACCGACCCCATGTGTTGGTAAGTGTCTAACCTAACCTGACGAAGTAGTGACGAGGCTAGGACCAGACTACCAAATAAACATGTGCAGATAAATCATATACAGCGAAAAATAAAAGCAGATATTCACAATTAAAGATGGGGTGGGGAAAGCATGCTACGGGGAGTATCAGATAACAAAAAAAATACCAAAGAGGAATGTAAAGAAACTAGAATTTAATTGTCAACAGTAATGAGGAAAACAAACACAATATTCATTTTCATTTCTTTCTTGTTGCAGGCGTACAACCCGATCCCATTCCATATATCTCGTTGCAGGCGTGCAACCCGCTCCCATTTCATATATCTTGTTGCAGGCGTGCAATCCGCTCCCATTTCACATATCTTGTTGCAGGTGTGCAACCCGATCCCATTTCAAATATTTCCGTGGCGGCGTGCCACCCGCTCCCATTTCATATATCTTGTTGCAGGCATGCAACCCGATCCCATTTACAAATCAACATCAATCACAAAAGAATCCCAGTAAGGGAACAAAAGTATAACAACAGTATCCCGGCAAGGGAGACAATATCGTAAACAATAACATCCCGACAAGGGAGACAATATCGTAAACAATAACATCCCGACAAGGGAGACAATATCATAAACAATAACTTCCCGGCAAGGGAGACAATATCGTAAACAATAACATCCGGGCAAGGGAACCAACAATGATAATCAACATATTAAGCATGAATAAATCTCAACGGAGTCACAACAATTACAACATTAGACCCACGGACATTCTTGACACCGACGTATAGATACTCGTCACCATGCCTATACATCGTACTCCACAATTAACACATAGCAATTAAGATACAACTCATAATCCCTCAAGCTAAGGTTAGGCCAAACACTTACCTCAAACTTCCACGGCCAACTCAAGCCTCAAACACCATTTTTCCTTTAGAATTCGCCTCCAAATTACTTGTATCTAGCCCAAATTAATTTAACAACATCAATAAATGCTAAAGAATTCATACCCAATGCTTAATTATAGGTTTTCTATCATTTTTTCCAAAAATTCAAAAATCGACCCCGGGCCCGCTTGGTTGAAACTCGAGGTTCGAACCAAAACCCAATCATCCATTCACCCACGAGCCCAAATATGCAATTAGTTTCGAAATCCGACCCTTAAACGAGGTCTAAATCCCAATTAATCAAACAGCCCTAACTCTACCAAAATTCCTAATTTCTACCATAAAAACCCTAGATTTTTGAATGAAGATTGATGAAATGCAATGGGAAATCGAAAGAAATGGTTTAGAATCATATACCAATGCTTTGGGGAAGAGCTTGTTCTTTGAAAATCGTCTCAATGCTCTCTAGTTTTGAAAATATGAAATTATGGACTCAATCCCGATTTTGCTACCGTTTTTAATTTACTGGACAGGCCTTCTTCGCATTCGCAAAGGGTCAGGCCCAGTTGCCTTCGCGTTCGCGTTTAGTGGCTTGCGTTCGCGGAGCTTTAGCCCCTCAAGCCTTCGTGTTCCGCGTGTCGCACCCCTTTTTTTCTCGCGAAATCAGGTTTATGACATTCGAGAGGACAACTCGTTCCCTTTTGGGAATTGTGTTTGGATTGAAAAGTCGTCACCTAATGATTAAAGTGTATTAGGACACTAAGAAGGATTTTGATTTAGAAAACCAGAGATTGGGTAAGGGCTAGAAATTATTTTGAGGGGAAGGTGTTAGGAACCTCTCGAGATCCACTAGTGTGGTTCCCGGCCATGCTACAATTGTGACTTTAAGTGCGAACAACAAATAGACACGTAAGGGTTTCCAATACAAAGAGGGTTTTCACATAATGGTTGCAAGTAGTTGAAGTTGAGAGAAAATAGAGAAAAGCTGAAGTTGAAGTAGTTAAAAGAGTTCTGAAAATAAAGCAAACAAGTAAGAAAAAAAGAGGGGGGTCCTAAGTTTACAAATAATATGGATCACATCAATGCAATACCCGGTAATCACTCCTCAGAAGAGGGGTTACACGTGGTATTAACGCACTGGTCATCATATCCATATCTATCCTTTCCCACCCCGTTAAGGTATTAAAGCGCGGAATGGTTTCGTTACTTATTGCATGCTATTACCCGCCCCGATCCTATCAGTCCCGGAGGCATTTGGGACTACTAGTCCTAAAGGGAAGGGAGATTTGGGCTTTTGGGTTTAAAAGGACAAAATCTAAGGCGACAATCAAAAACATGTAGAGCAGTTATGGGGAAACATATAAGAGTTAAAAGCTCAAACATGCCTCCTCAACTTAAATACAAATTGTCTAGCATGTCTTGCACGTACGGATTATGGTCTAATTAAACTAAAAAGGGTGAGGCAGATTGATTTATTACATACTTCAGATAAGAAATCCGAATCAGACCTGCCTGCTGGTTGTAATTAACGAAGTCTGATTCAGCTAGCTAATTTACCTTATGGCTTGCTTAGGTGAAACCTATAGGTATGATATCTATTAATGTAGAAGTATACTGATTCTAGCGAAAAGGACTTATTAGTTACAGAAAACATAAGTTCTGCAAATATTAAGCAATGCTACTACTGATTTTAGACTTATAAGCGAGATAGACGATTTAGATTTGGTTGATTACTCATATAGGCATGCTTTCTAGGCGTTATTGATTTTTAAACGTTTATAGAAGTGCAGAAGTCCTATAGGCATGGTATCTAGAATGCTAATTGTTATTTAAACCTATAAACCATTTGCCTAGTGATAGATGCATATGTAGAATTCAGGAAGTCCTATAGGCATGTTATCTATATGATATACATCGTTTGGGAATGTAGAACCTATAGACATGTTTTCTATATAAAATGCAGATCCTATAGACATGGTTTCTACGTGAAATTGCAGATCCTATATACATGGTTTCTACGTGAAAATGCAGATCCTATAGACATAGGATCTATATGAAATGCAGAAACCTATACACACGATTTCTATGAAATGCAGAAGTGCAGAAACCTATAGACATGGTTTCTACATATGAAATGCTAAATCGACAGCTGTAAGCATGATATAAGTGCAGAAATATAACAACTCCCTATGAACATGATATCTACCCTTTTTGCATGCATGATTGACCCTCCCCTTTTCACTAAAACCCCTATAAGTTAGTACAAATTATTACATCCCGAGAAAAATGCCAAAAAATTACATCAGAAACATAAAATTCCAACCAAGGAGAGCCTGATTCAGACTTCTATCTGAAGCATGAAGTAAACCAACTCCGAAGATCAAATTTCCAAAGCCTTTCTCTTATTTGGGATGTGTCAGAGTTCCCTAAGAGTCTCAAGTGGACTCCGGGCAGTGCTTACACCCAAATATATTGCAGAATTGAGTTATAGTGCAGTGTGGAAGGGCCAGCCCTCGAATGTCCAAGTTTAGAGGGAACTCAAGGTCCCAAAGCAAGGCTCATAGGAGGGGGTCAGAACTTAGAATCTAAGAGAGAGTGTAAGTGCAGAGAGGGGATTATGGGGGAAATCCAAGACAAGCTAGTGGTCATACCTAGCAATTTGAGTGCCGGCACCCCCAACCAGACTGTTAGCCACATTGTTTGGGAGTTAGGATCCCCTATGGGATCAAGTCCAGACATGAGAAACAACTTGGATGTTGCCATGTTCTGAACTTCAACTCAAACACATAGAAGGGGACAGGGGTGCAGGGATTCACAGTAGAAACATATGCTAATTAACATTAAACATAGGCAGTAAAGCAGACATGGATGTAGAAGCTGTAAAATAAACACATTAGGATGAGGCTAAAAATCAAACTAGAACATACCAGTTTCAGGGAAACAAGAAAATAAAGCAGTAGTCTTGTGAAGCCAAAGTGCAAGCAAATAGTCAGAATGCTATGATTAGAGAACTATGATACTTGAGTAGTATAAAAGTGTTAAATAGAGAGTGTGTTGGTGAGAAAGGAGTCGTGCCCCTTTTATAGTGAAGAAGACAAGCAGAATAAGGTAGGAGAATAGTTTTAAAATCAATTACAAAAGTTCCCCTTTAATTGAGGGATTCTGATTTCAAACGGGTAAAATAATTAAGGAAAGAGATTGATCAAAATCTTTTCCAAAGCAGTACAAGAAAGGTAAATACACAGAGATTTATTTAAGGCAAAATTCTGGTAGCACACGGTTTCTGCAAATAAGGAAAGGAAATCAATCAACAGCCAGTAAATCACAAAGTCTGAATTTTGGTATGAATGAATCCAGCCAGAAAAGGTGAAGAAAGGTTTTACTTAAGGAAGATCAGTAAAAATCAATCAAACCTAAAAAAGGATTCTGAATCAATCATAAGTTGGAAAACCTTTTCGGAAGAAAGAATTCATCACACATATAAAAACATACAGCCATGCTTAAGCACGGAGAGCTGTCATGCTAATCAGTAGAAGAGTCTAGCATAGAAGAGAAAGTTCAGAGTCGTAAACAAAGAAATTCAAACTTAGTTCACAGATCAAGATGAGTCAGAGAGAGTCAAGGGT